TGTGTGTTTGTGTGTGTGTGTGTGTGTGTGTGTGTGTGTGTGTGTGATTTTGAAGGACTACACTACTATATTCTACAAAAGTTTACATTTAAGGACTCCAAAATGTGTACTCAAGTAATTAAATATTTTACTTAGATCTTGTAAACATGTTACTGTACATATCTTAATATTTACAATATTAAAATATAAAATAATTTTAAAACATCAATACGTTTTTGGTGATTGTACCATGATTTTACAATTCAATTCATCAAATTTAATTGGACATTTTACAGCCTGAACATAAATTAGTCATTTTACATGCTAAAAAAGATCTGATTATCTGATATTTTAAGACTTACTGACCATGACACACTCATAACTGTATGTTTGTCACACTACATGACTTTATTTTAAACATTTATAATATTTTTTAACAAAATTGTTTCACTGTTTAATTTTTCTAAATACTAATAAATTAATAAATAGATAATATCCTTTTAATAAGGCTTGAATGCATACTTTTCCATTTATTTTGAAAATATATCCATGAAAAAAATTTACCATCTTGACCCTTAAACTAAAGAAAAGTTTTTTTTCCTTTGGTTAAAAAGTGTTTTATTCTTGATGATCTGTCTCCGTTCTTGTACTGAATAAGAACTTTTTACAGTTTAATCCCTCAGTCATCAAGTCCCACCTTATGTTTTTTCAAAGTATCTGTTTCATTCAAAAATGTCATATTTCGGAAGTAAAATGCATTGTAAATGACGTTTCATGTTGACCAAAGAACCAGCTATCATAGCGCATGATCTATCAGTAGACATTAGTTTTGACTTGCTAGCAGTCTTACTGTATATTGTAGCAAATTAACTCAAAAGGGAAATGTATATAAATAATTAGTAGTAATTGTAACAGAATTAATATTGCCATCAACTAATCTGTTTGTCCAGCAAACATTCAGTGTAAATTAATATCAAATCTAAGAAAGGATAAGAAACTCATGTAATTTGTGCACAAAGGTTTTATTAACTAAACGCTAACACATATAACTACTCTAAACAAACAAACATACAATCACTCATTCATAGGGAAAAGGCAAGTGAGACCGGATGAACCATTATAGAAACAAGAAAATGCAGCTATGGAAAAGGAGTCAGTTAACCTTTGCGTGAAACCATCAGCGCCGTTTTACAACGGGGTCGTTAGCTTATACTAAACCTCTGTTTCGTTTAGTTAAATGTACGATACTTGCATTGCCTTGGTCGTTGACGAGTGTTCGGATACAGTCTCGGATGAAAGTCTTTATGGTTTCAAGGTTTGGACTTGCGATCACGTTCTTCTGGGTTTGAAGAATCATGAACCCCAAAGATGTTCTGACTCGATGGTGATTGGGAGTTTCTTCCCAGGTGGAAAGTGAAGAAGAGCTAAGAGAGATCAGCTGAGATCCTAGGATCTTTGATGAATGGCCTGGCTCAAACTTAAGGGGTCCAGAAGAGTTCTAGCTCTGCATCCCCATCCTCTTAGGATCTAAAAGAACCACAGACTGAGCTGTGTCGAGGCCTGCCAGGCACGGCAGCGCCGGCTCTGGGACTTAGCAACCAGAAGATGGGAGGGTGATGAGAGACGAGTAAAGAGACTGAAAGACAGGCGGGTCACTGAAGTGAGGACTTTTAAGTTCTGTGGAGGTCACAACTCTTGGGGGTCAAAGAGCCAATGGTGACTTGCACTTCTGGAGGGAAAGTTTACGGCTCTTTGTCTCCGAACATGGTCATTTGCATATGTAACTGGATTGGATGTTGATGCAAAGACAACTAAAAATTCTTAGAACACTAATATTTAGCATAGGTATAAACATATAATATACACTCTCAATTAGATCATCCAAAGACGAATACATAGAGACCAAACATGGTATAGGTGAGTTTACATTAACTAGTGATCTATCATAAGCATCCACAAGACCGTATACAAGGAGGTTGTAATCATACACAAAGACCTTGGGATATGCATGATAGGAAAGTCAGGGAAAAATTAGTCTATGAATTAATGAAAGGAGTCATTTCCTATAGCAGTATATGTCTGTTTTAGAGAGAATTGAGTAGGGAGGAAGATTCTCCCTACATACTTTTAGGTCGTAAAGTTGATCTGATCTGGCTGAGGTGTCCTGGCCTGGAGATCGTTCACAGACATATAGGCACCGAGTCTGGTGTTGGGTGAGGGGTCTGTGATTGTTTGTTAATCTAATGAACAATTGTGTGTCTGATTGGTCCAAATGCTAAAATATTTGGTATGATTTTTTTTGTGTATTTACTAGGATTATATCGACACTGAGGCACTGCTGAACAGTGAAAACGTGAATCAAGAGGCTTTGCTGGCATACGCACGAGAGGCAGCCGACTACGCCACCCACTACCAGCTGCCCACGCTGGACTACGCCATGAACCACTGCGGTCAGCCTGATGTGGCCATGTTTGATTTCACGAGCATGTACGCCTCAGAAAGTGCCGCTCTTGTCCGGGAGAGGTTTGGTCACAGTGTGCTGGTGGCACTAGTGGGAGACAGTCTTCTAGAGGTGAGGAGGATACATTACTGTGCAGTTATACTTAAATAATCATTCTTGTGCTTATTTATATTTATGATTATTACATTTGATTCTGATGATGTGTTTCTGGTTGTCTGTCTTACTGTAGCCCTTCTGGCCTATGGGGACCGGCTGTGCCCGCGGCTTCCTGGCAGCCTTTGACACGGCTTGGATGGTAAAAAGTTGGGCGCAGGGTAGAAATCCACTGGAGGTGCTGGCAGAGAGGTCAGTGAAGGTCAAATTTAACACGTGCAAACAATAACTGCACACACAGTCACACTTGCTCCATATGAATACACCACCATGTTTTCATCTATAATATATGACTATTTGGTCATACTAAAATGATGAATGAATGAATGAATGAATAAATAAATCAATCAATCCAATTTTTTTTTCAGATTTCAAAGATGTTGAAAGTGTTAATATGCACTTAAAACACTATTAATAGCTTGTTTATGTAGTTGTTTTGTTTTTATTCTTCTAGGGAGAGTCTGTACCGATTGTTACCTCAAACGACACCTGAAAACATCACCAAAAACTTTGATTTGTACACCATAGATCCAGGAACACGCTATCCCAACCTTAATTCCAGCTGTGTCAGGCCACACCAGGTGAGATGACATTACTATCTGTGCACAGTATATTGTCATTAAAAAATCATGAGCTATTGCTTTTATAAAGCACCTATGACTATGAGAATAAATAAACTAATACACTGCTGGCCAAAAGCTTGGAATAATTATGATTTTTGTTGTTTTAAAAAAAAAGTCTCTTATGTTCAGCAAGGCTGCATTTAGTTGATCAAAAAAAGTAATGAAAACATATTCAAGTAGAAAAAATATTTTAAATTGAAATAAATTTACAGTTTTTATTGTATTTTTGGTCAAATAAATGCATTATGCTGAGCATAAGATACGTCTTTCAAAAATATATATATAAAAAATCTGAATTATTCCAAACAGTAGTGTAGATTAGTTAAAAATGTGCTGTACATGCACTTTTCTGCTGAACTTCCTCTTTCCCTGGCTAAATTAGCCTCTTAACAGGAAATAGATAAAGAGGCAAAAACAGAAATACCACATATCTTTAGGTTCTGGTCATGCTGCTGTTTCCTAAATCAATAACAATAAATCCTTTCCGCTATTGCTGTTCTTTTGAGCTTGTTGACACGTGGCTTTACTGCACCTAAAAACAGTTGTTAGCTGTTAGGGTGACACACTACTCTGAAACAAATAATAAAGAGTGTGTTGCGTAAGAGGAGCATTATGCTGCTGCGAGATTGATGAGGAAAGTTCAGACACCTGACAAAGAGAAAACGTCACCTTGACTCTCAGTCCAGATCAACCTTTGTATATATTTTCATATAGCTAAAGTCTCAGGTTCTCAGAGTTTTTGGGTTGGGTTGCATTTTCCTCTGCTTGTGTGTGTGTGTTTAACAGAGTCTGAGATCAGGCCGAGTCGGTTACTGACGTGGTGTCAGAAGCAGACAGAGGGCTACAAGGGTGTGAATGTGACTGACCTCACTTCCAGCTGGAGCAGTGGCCTGGCTCTCTGTGCTCTCATACATCGCTTCAGACCACAGCTCATGTAAGATGCTTTACAACATCTCTCTTCTGCTGGAAACATCATCAGAACACTGTTTTTCCCTTTTAAAATGTGCATTTAATATATGTGACTAATATTGTGATCAGTAGAATCACTTAAAGTATTGTATCTAAGTATTATATGACTGACACTTACATAGTACTATGGTACAGTGTAGTTAGTGATATTGTATGATTACCATTATTCATATACAGTACCATGGTATTTACATGGTACTCCAAGGTACTTAATAGAATACTGTGGTATTACCATGGTGTATGTTTAAATATTGCCATGTAATATTGCCATGGTGCCTAAAAAAAATAAAACGTGCTAAACAACAGTGTCTTTGTACATGTTTTTTAGATTGTCCAGAATTAGGTGTAAACATGGTATTACAATAGTGCCATGTCCAAAAAATGCATGGTATTGGTATTACCATGGTACAAAGTAAAAAACATAGTATTACTATTCTACCTGCTACCATGTGCAAAAAACGAACATAGTATTACCATTTTCCAGTACCATATGTTGGTGCTATCTAAAAAAAACATGGCATTGGTATTATCATTGTACAAAGTGACAAAAAACATGGAATTACTACCATGTGAAAAAAACAACAACAACTTGGTATTAACATTACAGTAATTTTTTATTTTTCACAGATGGCAATATCAATGCCATGTTTTTAAAGGCATGGTACTATGTTATATGGATATCATACCAGGGCAATACTATGTTTTTTAGATTTGGTACCATGTTAAAATAAATATATTTCTTTTAAAAAACATGGCATTAAGTCTGAAAAAACATAGTATTGCTCTGGTATGATATCCAAAAAATATGGTACCATGTCTTTAAAAACATGGCATTGGTATTACCATCTGCCAAAAAGGCAATTTCTCAACAACCATGGTATTACATCAGTACTATATCCAGAAAAAAATACATATATAAATCACATGGTAACACCAAAGTGCCATGTCCAAATAAATATGGTACGTCTTAAAAACATGGTTTTATAGTTTCATATCATATATCAAAAAAACTAAACATGAGATCATGTCCAGAAACCATTTCTTTTTCTTGTCGTTAGTGAAAAAAATGACATTAACATGATATGGATAATATTGATAACCGTGATAATTTAGCTCACTATAATCATGATAAGAAATTTTCATACCATTACATCTCTAGGTACTATACCCCCCAAAAAACAAAAACAATGTGCATGTATAAAATCCATGGTATTACCTTGATACCATATCCAGAAAAAAAAAAACTAAAACATAAATGTGTAATACGTGCTAATATCCATTCTAAAGGATGAATCAGGCAGTCCCTAATAAAACAGTAGTTTACATGACACTTTGATAATATTCATCTGATGAGTGAAACATTAGCAATGGAATTAAGTCGTAAGCACATTTAATAAATATTTGGTCTGCTTCCTGACATACCCACAAATCACGTTCTGTTTTGGCAATCATACCAGTCAACTCTCCTGTATGTTTATTAGCTTTTGCCTTTGCACAGTTAGTTATTGTGTAATCCTAAACATGAACAAGACATGTGAAAAGCACTTTGACCCCTTGAGAAATCGCTTTCCCATGTTACAACTTTTTTCCTTCGAAAACAGATATCCTGCTACACGATACTTATTCATCTAAACAGTGTGACTGTTAAACTTCAGCATTCTTGGCTGAGAAAGCATTTGAACAGCATAACCATGTGCAACATTTCACACACTTTATCAAGGGCCATTTTTCAAGTCAGTCATTTGAGATTGTCAAAAGTAGCTTAAAGAAAGCAGAGACGTTTCACAGCTGCACATTGTCCTTTCTTTGCATAAATGTCAAGAGGGCAGCTTGTTTCATTCAGGTCCCATGCTCTCTGTTCTTATCACCTTGTTTCCTGTAGTGATTATGACTCTCTCAATGAGCAAGACTGTGCCAAAAACCTTCAGCTGGCATTTGATGTGGCTGAGAAGGAGTTTGGCATTAAGCCTTTCATCACAGGGAAAGAGCTGGCGGCAGGTCAGGAGCCGGACAAGACCAGCATGAGCAACTACCTCTCCAAGTTCTACGAGCTCTTCCGAGGAACGCCTCTACCTCCCTCAGGTAGATCATGAACTCTTTCATTACAACCCTATTAGGATCACTGACTGTGTTTGGAATTGTAAACTAGTATACTACTAGTTACGAATACTTTATGCAGAAGCAAGTACACTATTGTTTAAAAGTGGGTCGGTAAGGTTCTTGTAATGTGTTTTGAAGAAGTCTCTTATGCTCACCAAGGCTGTTTTTTTTTTTTTTTTAGCAAAAATACAGTAAAACTGCAATATTGTGAACAATTATTATAATTTAATAATTGTTGATACATTTTTGTCAGGACACTTTGATGAATAAAAAGTTTAAAAGGAAATTATGTAACAATTTTGTAATATTATAAGTGCATTTACTGTCACTTTTGAATTGAATGCATCAATTTATGGCATCCTTGCTGAATAAAAGTATTAATAAAATAATAATAATAATTGAATGGTAGTATACAATAAGGTCTCCTTGACTTCTTTGATCGGACTCCGGAGATTAAAAAAACAAAAAACAAATATTACAAAAATATTGAATTTAAATTTTTTATTTTTTATTTTCAAGAAGGACAAAACTTGCTTAATTAAATATGCATAAATATCTAGCATACTAGTATTTGAACATTTCTCCTTGCATTTTGATGAATTGAAAGTTAAAAAGAACAACAATTATTTGAAATAGAGTTCTTTTCTAACATAAATCAGTGCTGTTAAATCGATTAATCATGATTAATCGCATTCAAAATAAAAGTTTGTTTACATATATACCTGTATGTGTGTGTATTTATATATACATATATACACAGTACACACACATATATTATGTAAACACAAACTTAAATTTTTGATGCGATTAATCATGATTAATCGATTTGACAGCACTATTATAAATGTCTTTACTGTTACTTTCAATTTCCCTCTTCAGTTTAATGGATGAAATTACTGAATAAAATAATTCATTTAAAACAAAAGATCTTACTGACTCCAAACTTTGAATGATAGTGTACATGATCAGTTCAATTCGGTATTCAATATTCACTTCATTTCTGGATGTAATATCAGCCACAAATATTTTGACCTTGTTCTTTACCACCCTGGGTTAAAAATACAAATATAATACAAATATGTACAGTATACTTGCTAAATTAAATATGCAGCATTAATGACAACAATCTAGTATACTAGTAATTGAACATTTCTCATTGCATGTTCATTATTTCTTATACTGTAAGAGTGGGCGGTATGCAGTGTATATTTGCGTAGTATATAGTAAGCAGTACACTTAAATTTCACATCAAACATAGACATAGTCTCATAATTCACAGACTTTACTGCAATAACAATATATTTTCAGCTCCTTCAGCTCTCAAAATATACATGGCATTGTTACATTTAGCCCATTAAAGGTGTTCAAAAATGAACCTTTTACACTGTCCAAAACCTATTACCTGCTTTGAGTGTGTCTTCCACCTAGTTTGCATAAGGTGTGTCCATTAAGGAAACACACAATGCATTTATGGAAAACCCCTAAAGAGAAGGATTTTATCTGGCCTTTTGCACTCGAACATTTACAATTCCTTCTGTCATGCAGTCATGCCAGGAATGCATGTCTGTCTGAAACCAGGTTACTGCCCTGCAGATCTGCACATCACCACAGTGGAGGAGGCCATAGATATTCCACATTATATATTGTCTGGCCTCAGAGACGTTAATACAGCACAACATATTATGTTGTAAAGTGATGTGTGTTTGGTTACAATGCTTATTTGTTGTAGTTGTTTATTCTCAAATGTCATGCAAATGTTTGTCATGTGGTTTATTGTAGATTCAAAGCGAGATGGTGATGCAAATAATGAAAAATGTCCATCAGGTTCTCCCAGACCTGTTTCCAAGTCATTGAGTTTGCTTCAGCCTCGTAAACGCATACCCAAGGTAGTATACAATGGATTTGATTTATTACAAGCACATTTACAGTTTCTGTTTGGTGGACTTTCTTATTTTGTTGAAGTTTGGACATCACCTTCTAAAGCAAAATTTAACTTATTGTTCCTTAGAATGACAAAAAGACTGAAGACAATGACGCCATATACAAGAGAAGACGGAAAATTAGTTACTTAGAAGAGGTCAGTATTATAGTATATAATAACATACCAGTAAAAGCAAGTGAAACTAGAACTACTCTCTGATTGGTCCACTTCTCTTCCAGCCAATCAGATCCATCAATCAGAGTTCTTCTGCATCCAATGAGGTGCGGGAACTGAAAGAAAACAAGGTCAAGTTTATGGCCACTCAGCTTCTAGCAAAATTTGAAGACAGCACCGCAAGCTGCTCTATTCGCAGACAGGTAAATACTATTTTGTCTGAACTCACGGCTGAAGATTTACATTACATTTTCTTAAAGAAATAGTTCACCTGACAGTGAATATTCTGTCATTGTTTACTCTCTCTTATATCATCACATTTCCATTTTTTCTTCACTGGAACACAAAAAGAGCAATTTTGCAGAATGTTCTTGCTGCTCTTTTTCGTATCATAAAGGTGAAGGCTGTAGAGCTCCAATATACACTGTAAAAGCGCTCTATATGTTTTGTGCGCAAAACTCTCTGAAGCCATACAATAGATTTTTGTAACAGATTGAATTTTTTATTGTCATTCACTGAAAATCTCTGCTGGTGCTCTAAAGTATCTTTCACAAACATTGAAATATGATACGTCATGATGTGTTGTACAAGGTTTGACATCAAGATATGGATCTTGATGGTTTAAGGCATATTGGTTTCAAATAATATAAAAATAATTACAAAATTAAGGGGTTAACATTTCTTTTACATTTTGACTTTCTGAGTATTTCTGTGCTTAGTTAATCTCTTCTTTCTCTTTTCTTCCCTCTGTCCCTCTGACCCTGGCTTCCTTTTCTCTGAAACTGTTCCTGGTATAATGATTTCAGTCTGACTCTAATGATGAGAGGCCTCCAAGACCTCCATCGCTCGATATGACCGATAGCCCTCTCTTTAACATTATCAAGAAGAAAGTTCCACCACCCCCACCCCCTAAAAAACAGGTAGAACCTCCAAAGTCAGTGTACACCCACAAACAATACTTATAAAAAGTACCATTTATCACCTGGTATTAGCTTTCACATAATCTAAATAAATTATTTTTTGGTAATATTCATCTTTTTAAAACTCTACACTCTTTAAAATAAAGGTTCTTTATTGGCATCTGTGGTTCCATAAAGAACCTTTGAAGTTTTCCATTCAAGGTTCTTTATAGTCAAAAAAGGTTCTAAAGATTTTTTAAAAAAAATGTTCTTCAAAAGTGTTTTCTAAGAACTGTTCTTTAAAAAAAGTTATTTAGTGAACGTCTCTGTTATGTGTGTAACCCTCGTTCCCTGAATCCAATGAACCAATCCACTTTGAGTGTAACTAAACGAGCCAATGGACATTGGCATGCGGAATTCGCATCTGGCTGCCACACCCTGCAGCGCGGGTATAAGAGGCAGCAGGTGCACCGCATTCATTCATGTTTTCGCTGAGGAGCCGAGCAGGTGACCCGGCAGCTCAGTGGTGGTACAGCAACTGTGGCAAACTGTGACACATGTAACCGAGCTCAGTGGTGGTACAGCAACTGTGGCAAACTGTGACACATGTAACCGAGCTCAGTGGTGGTACAGCAACTGTGGCAAACTGTGACACATGTAACCGAGCTCAGTGGTGGTACAGCAACTGTGGCAAACTGTGACACATGTAACCGAGCTCAGTGGTGGTACAGCAACTGTGGCAAACTGTGACACATGTAACCGAGACGTTCCCTTTCAGTCGGTCACTCTCGACATCACGTCGGTGACTGACGAATTGGGAATCCCTACCAATGCGCCACAGGTGCTGCCCCCTCCAGTGCCCTGTGTAGGCCTCCCGAACCTTCCTATAAGGCAGACGATAGGACCCGGGCTCTACACAGAGAAGGTCGACTACTGCTGTTCCTCGAGCAACCCAAACTGTAGGACTTGGATAACATTGGGAAAGCATGCCCTTCCTAATTGGAAGATGCACGCTGCGGAGTCACCTCCTCCCAGAGGGGGTTGAGTGACATTTACTCATGTGGAGTAAGCCAAAAGGGTCCTATCCCATGCAGCCTGAGCAGGCCGGGCACACCTTGTGCCTCATAGGCCAAGGTGATGGCATCCACTATCCAGTGGGCCATCCTCTGCTTGGAGACAGCTTTCCCCTTTTGCTGTCCTCCATAATCAACTATCAACGTACTGTCGCAGTGCGCGTACAGGACAGAGCAAAGCCAGGGCTGGGTCTGCCTCCTCCAAGTCATTTGAGATTGTCAAAAGTAGCTTAAAGAAAGCGGAGAAGTTTCACAGCTGCACATTGTCCTTTCTTTGCATAAATGTCAAGAGGGCAGCTTGTTTCATTCGGGTCCCATGCTCACTGTTCTTATCACCTTGTTTCCTGTAGTGATTATGACTCTCTCAATGAGCAAAACTGTGCCAAAAACCTTCAGCTGGCATTTGATGTGGCTGAGAAGGAGTTTGGCATTAAGCCTTTCATCACAGGGAAAGAGCTGGCGGCAGGTCAGGAGCCGGACAAGACCAGCATGAGCAACTACCTCTCCAAGTTCTACGAGCTCTTCCGAGGAACGCCTCTACCTCCCTCAGGTAGATCATGAACTCTTTCATTACAACCCTATTAGGATCACTGACTGTGTTTGGAATTGTAAACTAGTATACTACTAGTTACGAATACTTTATGCAGAAGCAAGTACACTATTGTTTAAAAGTGGGTCGGTAAGGTTCTTGTAATGTGTTTTGAAGAAGTCTCTTATGCTCACCAAGGCTGTTTTTTTTTTTTTTTTAGCAAAAATACAGTAAAACTGCAATATTGTGAACAATTATTATAATTTAATAATTGTTGATACATTTTTGTCAGGACACTTTGATGAATAAAAAGTTTAAAAGGAAATTATGTAACAATTTTGTAATATTATAAGTGCATTTACTGTCACTTTTGAATTGAATGCATCAATTTATGGCATCCTTGCTGAATAAAAGTATTAATAAAATAATAATAATAATTGAATGGTAGTATACAATAAGGTCTCCTTGACTTCTTTGATCGGACTCCGGAGATTAAAAAAACAAAAAACAAATATTACAAAAATATTGAATTTAAATTTTTTATTTTTTATTTTCAAGAAGGACAAAACTTGCTTAATTAAATATGCATAAATATCTAGCATACTAGTATTTGAACATTTCTCCTTGCATTTTGATGAATTGAAAGTTAAAAAGAACAACAATTATTTGAAATAGAGTTCTTTTCTAACATAAATCAGTGCTGTTAAATCGATTAATCATGATTAATCGCATTCAAAATAAAAGTTTGTTTACATATATACCTGTATGTGTGTGTATTTATATATACATATATACACAGTACACACACATATATTATGTAAACACAAACTTAAATTTTTGATGCGATTAATCATGATTAATCGATTTGACAGCACTATTATAAATGTCTTTACTGTTACTTTCAATTTCCCTCTTCAGTTTAATGGATGAAATTACTGAATAAAATAATTCATTTAAAACAAAAGATCTTACTGACTCCAAACTTTGAATGATAGTGTACATGATCAGTTCAATTCGGTATTCAATATTCACTTCATTTCTGGATGTAATATCAGCCACAAATATTTTGACCTTGTTCTTTACCACCCTGGGTTAAAAATACAAATATAATACAAATATGTACAGTATACTTGCTAAATTAAATATGCAGCATTAATGACAACAATCTAGTATACTAGTAATTGAACATTTCTCATTGCATGTTCATTATTTCTTATACTGTAAGAGTGGGCGGTATGCAGTGTATATTTGCGTAGTATATAGTAAGCAGTACACTTAAATTTCACATCAAACATAGACATAGTCTCATAATTCACAGACTTTACTGCAATAACAATATATTTTCAGCTCCTTCAGCTCTCAAAATATACATGGCATTGTTACATTTAGCCCATTAAAGGTGTTCAAAAATGAACCTTTTACACTGTCCAAAACCTATTACCTGCTTTGAGTGTGTCTTCCACCTAGTTTGCATAAGGTGTGTCCATTAAGGAAACACACAATGCATTTATGGAAAACCCCTAAAGAGAAGGATTTTATCTGGCCTTTTGCACTCGAACATTTACAATTCCTTCTGTCATGCAGTCATGCCAGGAATGCATGTCTGTCTGAAACCAGGTTACTGCCCTGCAGATCTGCACATCACCACAGTGGAGGAGGCCATAGATATTCCACATTATATATTGTCTGGCCTCAGAGACGTTAATACAGCACAACATATTATGTTGTAAAGTGATGTGTGTTTGGTTACAATGCTTATTTGTTGTAGTTGTTTATTCTCAAATGTCATGCAAATGTTTGTCATGTGGTTTATTGTAGATTCAAAGCGAGATGGTGATGCAAATAATGAAAAATGTCCATCAGGTTCTCCCAGACCTGTTTCCAAGTCATTGAGTTTGCTTCAGCCTCGTAAACGCATACCCAAGGTAGTATACAATGGATTTGATTTATTACAAGCACATTTACAGTTTCTGTTTGGTGGACTTTCTTATTTTGTTGAAGTTTGGACATCACCTTCTAAAGCAAAATTTAACTTATTGTTCCTTAGAATGACAAAAAGACTGAAGACAATGACGCCATATACAAGAGAAGACGGAAAATTAGTTACTTAGAAGAGGTCAGTATTATAGTATATAATAACATACCAGTAAAAGCAAGTGAAACTAGAACTACTCTCTGATTGGTCCACTTCTCTTCCAGCCAATCAGATCCATCAATCAGAGTTCTTCTGCATCCAATGAGGTGCGGGAACTGAAAGAAAACAAGGTCAAGTTTATGGCCACTCAGCTTCTAGCAAAATTTGAAGACAGCACCGCAAGCTGCTCTATTCGCAGACAGGTAAATACTATTTTGTCTGAACTCACGGCTGAAGATTTACATTACATTTTCTTAAAGAAATAGTTCACCTGACAGTGAATATTCTGTCATTGTTTACTCTCTCTTATATCATCACATTTCCATTTTTTCTTCACTGGAACACAAAAAGAGCAATTTTGCAGAATGTTCTTGCTGCTCTTTTTCGTATCATAAAGGTGAAGGCTGTAGAGCTCCAATATACACTGTAAAAGCGCTCTATATGTTTTGTGCGCAAAACTCTCTGAAGCCATACAATAGATTTTTGTAACAGATTGAATTTTTTATTGTCATTCACTGAAAATCTCTGCTGGTGCTCTAAAGTATCTTTCACAAACATTGAAATATGATACGTCATGATGTGTTGTACAAGGTTTGACATCAAGATATGGATCTTGATGGTTTAAGGCATATTGGTTTCAAATAATATAAAAATAATTACAAAATTAAGGGGTTAACATTTCTTTTACATTTTGACTTTCTGAGTATTTCTGTGCTTAGTTAATCTCTTCTTTCTCTTTTCTTCCCTCTGTCCCTCTGACCCTGGCTTCCTTTTCTCTGAAACTGTTCCTGGTATAATGATTTCAGTCTGACTCTAATGATGAGAGGCCTCCAAGACCTCCATCGCTCGATATGACCGATAGCCCTCTCTTTAACATTATCAAGAAGAAAGTTCCACCACCCCCACCCCCTAAAAAACAGGTAGAACCTCCAAAGTCAGTGTACACCCACAAACAATACTTATAAAAAGTACCATTTATCACCTGGTATTAGCTTTCACATAATCTAAATAAATTATTTTTTGGTAATATTCATCTTTTTAAAACTCTACACTCTTTAAAATAAAGGTTCTTTATTGGCATCTGTGGTTCCATAAAGAACCTTTGAAGTTTTCCATTCAAGGTTCTTTATAGTCAAAAAAGGTTCTAAAGATTTTTTAAAAAAAATGTTCTTCAAAAGTGTTTTCTAAGAACTGTTCTTTAAAAAAGTTATTTAGTGAACGTCTCTGTTATGTGTGTAACCCTCGTTCCCTGAATCCAATGAACCAATCCACTTTGAGTGTAACT